AAAAAAAAATGTTCCACACACAGCAGGAAGCAAATGTACAGAACTCATTTCCTTAGCAAGTGGTTTGCTATTCAATCAGCACCCACTTATTGAGCACCAACTATGTGGCAAGCACTGGATCTTATCCCAAAGTAACAGTCGAGATGGATGTATGGATAGTATTTTCAGGGATGTTTTCAGAGATAGTTGGAGGAAGATTTCCAACCTGCCTCCATTCAAGATTGATGTGAAAATCAAAAGAGACACTAAGAGACTTCCTGTCTGTCGAAGCATATGGAAGACAATCCTTCCTTTTGTCCACAAACATTTACTGACTGTTTACTATGAGCTGAGCCTTGTATTGGACCCTGGGGAAGCCCCACCTTCAAGGACCCATGGTGAGCCATCAGTTCCAACCCAGGCCATTGGTTCCACTCTCAGAGGAGAATGGCAGATGGTGTGGCCCACTGCTCTGAACTGGGGGCAGACCCAATATCCTCGAAGTAATAGGCTATTACCTTTGGGGATGTCATGCTCCAAGGAGTCCATGAAGTCCAGGGAGGGGTCTAAGTCAGCCTTCTCAAGCAAGGTCTTGTTCTTCAGCTCAACAGGCTCCCTGAAGTGGAAGTAGGAACTGAGCTTCTTAGCTTCAGACAAGGACAGTCCTAAAAAGAGGTGGCAGGTAGGAAGGGAATCCCACAGCTCCCATTCTCTATGCATGGGGACCACATGGAGGGGCTTGCAAAGGACTCAGGCATGTATTGACAGAGAAACTGAAGAGAGAGAAGGGAGTAGTGTTCACTCAGCCCAAACTGGCCCAGATCCTGCAATGAGGAGGAGGAAGGTGGGAAAAGACAAGGGGCCCAGACCCACCCAAAGCCCTGAGATCCAGGCAGCCAAACGCTCTCCCACCCATGGCAGAAAAGAGTCAGGGTCCAGTGATCAGGTGGCCTATGCCAACCACCGAAGCCAGGCCACTGGACACATCCTCCAAAGTGATGTGGCCCCAGCTATTCCTTCTCTGAGAAAGTGGGCAGGTTCCCCCGGATTCCCAGACACATGTCCAACTATGGCTGGAAGAGACGCACTCCCGCCCTTGAGAGATAACCCAGAGAACTCACCTTCAAAGGTCCGATTGACATGGACGGGTCCAAAAGGGGTCTTAAACAGGGCACCACGAGGGATGACAGCCACAGCCTTGTCAATCTGGTCAATGACAGACACCAAGCGGGTCTCTTCCTTGACCTGGACCTGAGGAGACAGAGGACAAGCCATCCTGCCAGGGCACTGTGCCCACTCACCCCTGGTGCAGGGCCCTTTCCATAACCATCTGACCTGAATCACCACAGTGTAGATACCAAGTTCCTGGGAAATCATGCTGGGTGAGCCCTCCCTTTCCTCCTGTCAAGGTTGTCTTTCTTTCTCTTTAAAATTGGTAATACAGGGGCAGCCAGTTAGCTCAGTTGGTTAGAGCGCAGTGCTCATAAACACCAAGGTTGCCAGTTCGATCCCCACATGGGCCACTGAGCTGTGCCCTCCACAACTAGATTAAAATAACTACTTGACTTGGAGCTGATGGGTCCTGGAAAAACACTGTTTCCCAATTTTAAAAAAAAAAGGAAAGAAAGAGAAGGAAGCTTTAAAAAGCCTTGCAATATTTAAAACTACAAAAAAAAAAAAGCAGTCTCTCTCACCCCATCCCTGGCCCCCCAGTTGCCCTCACTGGGGGCAACCACAGTTAATGGTTTCTTATGTAGCCTTCCAGAAACATACCATCCTATCATCAGATTTAAATGTTGCTTATTTTGCCTTTTGAAAATATAAGAGCAATCTTGCTTACTGTAGAATTTTGGGATAATCAGAGATATTTTATAATATACCTAAGGGAATTAAAATCATTCATAATCCCACCTCCTAAAGATAATGTATACTTCCTTCTAGTCTTTGTTTCTATGCATATATTTAAAGCAAAAATAGAGTCATAGTTTATGTAGTTTCATATCCTGCTCTTTGACTTATTATTCTCCAAGCATCACTCCATACTATAACATTTTTATGCAGATGAAATTTGGTTACAATCAATATCTAGGGCAACCCTGAACAAAAGAATTCCACAGAGATGTTTGGGGAACTGCAGCACTTGGCAGGGAAAACATGTCACCAGGGCTCCCACGCAAGTCACTCAGCCACCTAGTTCCCATGGGCTACCGACTGGAACTATTACAAAGAGGGAGATGGAAACTAATATTTAATAAATGCCTTGACCAGCGGTTTTAAATATGTCACCTCAGTCTGCACAAGCCTGCAAAGTAAATATAATTATCCTAATTTTACAGAAAATAAAACTGAGGGGAGGTTAAGTTCGTCAGGTCGGAAGGGACGCACCTGAGCTATCAGACTTGGACTCAAGACTTTTGGCATTATCCAGGTTCAAGTGCAGAGGCTGTGTTTTGAATTCTGGGTTTGTCTAGTTTCAAATTTGGGGCTTACTTTTTTTTTTTTTTAATTGGGTAACAATGTTTGTTCTAGGACCCATCAGCTCCAAGTCAAGTCATTGTCCTTCTATCTAGTTGTGGAGGGCACAGCTCAGCTCCAAGTCCAGTCACTGTTTTCAATCTAGTTGCGGGGGTGCAGCCCACCCTCCTTGTGGGAGTCGAACTGGCAGACTTGTTGTTAAGAGCACACACTCTACCCAACTGAGCCACTCGGCCGCCCTGGGCGCCTTACTTTTGACTGAGCTTCCCATTTCTAGGAATTGACCCTTCAGATAGACTGCATACACTGGAAATGATGTATGTATAAGGCCATTCATCGTGGCACCATTGGTCAGAGCTAACACTTAGAAATCGCCATTTCCGTGAATAAGGCATTGGTTAAATTATGGTACACAATAGTAAAATAAATAAATAAATATATAAATAAAATAAATAAATACATGGGGAGGCTCTTTCAGGCACTGGTATAGAAAGATCTCCAAAATGTATTGTTAGGTTAAAAAAAGCAAGGTGTAGAACTGTGTGCATACATACTGGTGGTACGATATTTAAAACTACAAAAAAAGCACTCTCGGCAGCGGATTGGGGGAGAGGGGTTGTCACTTTGAGGGGTAAAAAGTATAACTAGTGCACTGTGTTGTACACCTGAAACTAATTTTAAAAAATAAATAAATAAATGAGCACTCTCTGTCATTTGTTTTAAGGTAACAAGAGAATATGTAGAGGTAAGGTATTTGCTGAGGTTTGTATTTGCATAAAAATGTCTCTGGAAGCAGTTTCTCACACATGTGTATTGAAATTCCCTGGGAATGTGCTAAAATGCACATCCTGATGTTCCCCCACCCCCCACCCATTCTGCATTTCTAATTCCCTCCAGGGCAAGGTCATGCTTCTGATTACATTACTGTCCTCCAGAAAGAGGACCCGGGTGACTGGAGGACAGGGATAGGAGGGACGCTCTACTACATTCCTTTCTGTACCTTTGAATTTTGAACCATGAGGATGTATGACCTAGGAAACCAAAAACTGATACAAAAATATAAGAGCCTGTACCCATGCCCTTGCCCCAGAGCCAGGCTCTGCAAGAGCTGTCCAACCACTCTCCCCGCTATCTCTCAGGAGCTGTGTGTGGTAACATTGTCACCATAATTTTGGATGGCCCAGGCCCTCCTCCTCATCTCGTCTTCACTCACCACTACTTCTTCTTCAAAGACCTTATCGCCCTCGTTCACCTTCTGCAGCTCGGTGTGCTCATACTCATGTGAGGGGTCCCCCATGAAGCGGCCCTTCACCACAGCCGCCTGCACCGTCATCTCCTCTGTGGCTGGAGGCAACAGGCTCCACTCCATGCAGTTCAGGCTGCCAACAACATCCACGTGACCCAGGGTTCCAGCTCCCCTCTCACTCAGGCTTGTGGCCCTGTCCCTCCTCCCGAGGGGAAAGGCCCAAGAGCAGCTGCTGGGAGTTGCACCTTTCCCCTCAGAAGCCGTAAGTGCCTACGGTGCACCCCATCCCCGTATGTGACACAAATTCAATTTTATTTTTTTAAAGGTTACAAAAGCCTCATGTATGCCAAAACTCCAAGAGCTTCTTCCTAGATATCTGGACTGTGAGATTCCGGATGAGTTCTGGAAGTTAAATTTTCCTCAATTGCAGGTGCCTCTGCTTTGGTGGGCCCCAAATTCATGTTCAGCCTGCCTACTGAGCCCACAGTGCAGCCATCTTCCCCCATTTCTCAGGAAAGCCTGGCCCAGGCTTAAGGACCTCTCCTCCTGTAAGATCTTCAGGGGCACTCGCCAGCCCAGTCCTTTCTTTCTCACTCCCCACCAAGAGACGAAATCCTCCCACTCCTCTCTAATCCACTCAGGGCCTGTGTCCATAGCCTGGTCTCTGCTCATCTTTCCTCCCTTCACTCTTCACTGGCTCCTCCTCCTCAACATAAAAAATTCTCAGCTTTCCGGCTGGCTGAGTGGCTCAGTTGGTTAAGAGCTCGCTCAAGAGTGTGAGCTCTGAGCAACAGGGTCACCAGTTAGAGCTGAGCTGCCGCTGAGCTGCCAACAGGTGGCAGGATGCCTCAGCTAAAACAAAACAAAAACAAAACAAAACTTCTCAGCTTTCTAAAACAACAAGCCTCAAATCCATGCCCCTCCACAGAATGCCCTTCTGTCCCTCCCTCCTCTGCCCCACCTCTGAACAATAATCTCAGAACAATTTGCCCTGTGGAAGACCTCCCTCCCCCTCACTTTCACTCTTTGTCCAATGCTCCGTGATTTCTGCCTCCACCACCCCAAAAAACTGCTTAGAAGGTCATCCATGGGACCTAAAAGCCAACAAATGCATTTCCATTTCTATTTCCTTTGATATTTCCTTCTCCCTCCTCCAGTGCCTTAAGTATTCTCAGGGATCTATTCACCCCCCTTTTCTCCCTGTAGTCTCACCCACCTGACTCCCAGAGCCATGGATATTGACTTGTCAGAATCCAGAATCCAACCACCCGCCTCTCACAACCTCCACTGATTCCCCCCTGGTCTAAGCCACCCTCTATTCTTGCCTGGATACTATAGTAGCCCCCTAACTGGTCTCCTCACTTTCATACCCACTTCCCCTTCAGTCTAATCCCCACCCAACTGTTAAAACCTAAGCCACATCATGTGTCTGTGCAGAACCTTTCAATGACTTCCCATTAAGCCAAGTCCTTACAATTCAGGGCCCCACGAGGCCCTGAATGATTGTCTCCAGCCACTTGCCCCTCTCACCTCACATCCTACAATGACCCCCTCACTCACTCCTCTCCAGCCACACTAGCTTTTATGAGGTTCCACAAACACACTAAGCACACACCTGCCTCAGGGCCTTTGCACTTGCCTGGAATTCTTTTCCCTCAAATAAACACATAGCTCACTCAGTTGCTTCAGGTCTCTTCTCAAATGCTACCCTATCAAAGGCCACCCCTGACTACCCTATTTAAAATAGTACCCCATCCTGTACTCTCTATTCCCCTTGCCACTTAGCACCAGCTGATATGCAATATATGTGTGTGCTAATTTATTATCTCTCTCCCCTCCCCCCTCCACACACACTATAATGTAAATTCCATAAAGAGAGGGACTTTGTCTCATTTACCACTGAATTCCTGATGCCTAGATCAATGCCTAGCACATAGTAGGTGCTGAAGAAATAAAAACTTATGGAATAAAATGAATTGAGCCTGAAACCTCTATCTTCAGTCCAAATTTTTCTTCTGGAATCCAGGTCTGTACTTCAATATGCCTCCTTGCCACCTTGTCCCAAAGGCACCTTATTCTAGGTCTTCCCTCCTTCCTGAATTTGTCCGGCACCAGTGGGTGGCACCAGCACTTACCCAGCTGCCTAAGCTGGAAGGAGGAGTCAGCCTTGACCTCTTCTTCACTTCCCCCCATTCAATCACAAATCCTGACAGTTCTACCATTGAAATCTTTCTAACTCATGCCCTCCCCTAATTCCCTCAGCTACCTCCTCCTTTCAGTCCCCTTCGTCTGGACACTGCAACAGCCTTGTAAGTGCTCACCCACTTCTGGCCATTTTGCCCACTCAGATCGGAGCAGGCTCTTCCTGCTTACAGCCCTGCCATGACTCCCCACAGCCTATGGACAAAGTTCAAACTCCTGTGCCTCTCCATCCAGTTCTACAAAACACCCTTGTTTGTCACTGTTATGTTTACCTACCTGCTATTCTCTGAAACACTCCCAGCTAGCTCCAGCCAACAAGTTTGCACAACTGTTCCCTCAAACAGGCATGCCTTTCCCTGATACCTTCCTGGAGAACTCCTGTTCATCTTTTTGTTGCAAAGAAGTTACTCCCTTAGTAATCCTATTTAACTGCTCTTTAGGAGAACGCCCACTTTGGTCCCCTTTGTGTACACCTCCATTCTAGTTTTAACATACTTTGCTGCAATTGCTGGGTTGCACATAGGTCTCCCTCCCTAGGATGTGACTAATTTGGAGATGGGGTGAGTCTTAGCGGTCTTTGTAACCCCAGAGTTAGCACAGGATATATCCAACCAGTGTTGGATTGATGCATGGATAGATCAATGAAGTTTCCCACTCCCTGCGCCTAATGGACTGCTGTGTAAAGTGGTGAGCTCCCCATCAATGCCGAAGGTAGTCAAAAAGCAGCTGGATGGTCCTGGATGGTGATGGTCCAGGGAATTCTCCCCAGTTCTAAATCCCTTCTCTCCCATTCCGCATTCCTTCACGACTCCCTAGAGCGTGTCCTGCTGTGAGCCAACAACTCCACTGAAAATGCTTCTGACCCTACTCTAAGCTGAAATCTTCAAAAAGCCAGGCCCACTCCACGCTTGCACCAGGCTTCTACTCCAGGCCTCCATTCTCCAGAAACTTTCACCTTGCTCCACCTCCGTCCTCAGCACTGCCGCTATTGTAAACCCCCAGCCTCTAAGTTTCTCTTGTGTCCCCTTGCCTCAACGCCTAGACGTGTCCTCCCAGGGCTCGCCTTCACAGACCTTGCTCACCCACTTTCAAGCCCCCTTGGGCTCCCCTCAGTTCTCGGGTCCCCGGCCCCGCCCCTCCGGCCCTTCCCCATTCCCTCCTCCTCTGATCCCGTCCACCCTCTTCCTGGACCCCATAGGCCCCGCCCCTTCCCATTCCTACCATGCTCCCACCCTTCGCAGCCCCCCAGTGGCCTTCCCTTCAGTATCGGCCTCGGCCCGCCCGGGAGCCACCTCCACCTGTACAGTGTCTTGCGCGGTGCAAGCTGGTCCTCACTGAGGCCCTGCGCGATGTAGTAATCGGCAAAGAGGCCGAGGATACGGCCCCAGAAAAGCACCCGATCGTAGCGGTAATCGCGTTTAACCAGCGTAAGGGAAGTAAGTAGTGAGGCCCGACGGTCTGGGCTGAGGCCCTGCCCACTGCCGGACGCCAGCTCCAGCGACAGCAGGAGGCTATCCGCATCCATCGCGCCGCCCGAGGCTCAGCTCAACGCTCACCAGGTTGCTAGAAGCCGTCTCCATGGAGACCCAAAGTTCCGCCCTTCCGTCAAGCAGGAAGCAAGATTCCACCCACCAACCGCCGGTGGCCCAGCCCTTCCCGGGCTTCTGCCCAGCCCAGTTCCGTTGATATATTTTCCCAAGTCCTTCCACATAGTTGACATTTATTGAGTCATCACCGTATATGCAATGGGGGCTTGGGAAGAAACATACAAGTGACACTAGCTGTATTATTTCACTCGTCGCGTCCGTTCTAGGTGAAGAAAATAAGATACGCTTGGTTCTAAAAGTCTAGGAATCTAAGATAATTAATCCCCCCCAAAACCAGGTCTTACATAATGGGGTCCATCTACTCCATTTTCTTGTCTTCACCAGATGTCTCTTTCTTTACCCCTTCCATTATACTATTCCACCTAAGTGGCGAATGGAGGCTGAGGTGATGGGGCAAGGCATAGAGCCACACCTTGGGAAAGGGGGGTGTGAAGGGTACAAAAAGGATGACATTTACAGACTACACTACCACCTACATTTACATACCTGGGGCCCCACAACTGTTGCTTTTAGGCTCAAATGGTAGCTACGGATGAAAGGCCAGAACCCCACTGCAGCTGGGGCTATTCACTCACAGGCTAGAGGCTTACTATGTCTACACACCCACCTCTGGAGTCCTCAGCCAAGGTCAGATAACAGGTGCCTCAGCAAGCTTGTTGTCAGGGAAGTAGGTGGGGTTTATTATTTTTATTAACTGATCTTTTAATTTCTGGATTCCTTTGGAGAGGACTCATGTAATCAAAATGACCTGGGCCTCAATGCCAAGCCAAAAGAGAAATAAGTGTATAAATTACCCAGATAATTACTTTGTTTTGATTGTCTAGACATTGTTTATGAAGGCTTTTAAAATCAGTATTTGAGGGAGCTTACATGGCTTAATAATGTGTCTTCCATCTCAAAGACAATTTTTAACTCCCTTGTTCCAAACTCTCCCTCCCTTTCGTCAGACCCCTCACTTAGTCTGTCCCTTCCCAGGTGGGAGAGATGGCCCTATTCCTCTTCTGTAATGTAATATCATCAGGCAGAGACAGCCGAAATTCTAGCTAGTGGAATATGGTCACAGCACCAAAAAGGACCCAAACCTTTTGTTTTCATTGATTACGTATTTACTCAGCACCTGTTAATGTCAGGTCCCTTATCACGAAACACAATCTGAAGCCAGAGAGGGGGGCCCAATACTATCATCTTTGGCAGGGCAAATCCTCTTTAATTACTTCACAATAAAACCACATAGATGCACAGCACAGTGTAAAGCACTCAGCCTCTGGTGCCAAGTGGACTGGGTTGGAATCCAGGTTTCAACACTCAGGCAATTTATTCAATTTCTTCAAATCTCATCTATAAAATGGGGACAATGATAAAAACGTGCAAGGTTGTTAGATTAGATAATAAAGTGCTTAAAAATAGCATAAAATAGAAACTATTTTTTGTTTACTTGGCAAAACATTAAAACAAAACATTCTTCTTAAAACATAAAAAATAGTATGTATTTATATTATCCCAATTTACATGCACGCACGCACACACACGCGCACACACACATACACAATCTCCAGCACTGGCAGGGTGAGAATTCTCTCTTCAATTTACTTCCAAGAAATAAGCAGGTGTTCGCAGGGACAAAGAGCATCGATGTTTAGTGGTCAGGACAGCATCAAGCTGGAGAGGCTAACAGTAAGGATCAGGAGAGCCAAGTCAGAGATGTAGCTGAGGAGGAATTGCCACAGGCAGCAGGGCAAGGTTTGCCTAAGGACAATATTACCCACAGTACTGCCAGCAGCAAACAACTGCAATGGAGACAGGCTGAGCAGAATTCCAAAAGAGATATTTGGCCTAGGGGAACTGAATCCACAGGGCTTTCCTGGGGTCTCAGCCTACGATTCAATCAGGCTTTGCAAAGACCCTTTGTTTCCTTTTCTCAGCCCAGTCTCTCTGCCCCTTTCCCCTATGTGACCTCCGCTTTGGGCACACATCCATTAAGGGCCACAAAACCAGTTATGCGGCAGAGAAAGAATGTTGGGCTAGGAATTAGCTGATGAGGACTCTCGTCCCAGTGCTGATACCAAACCATAACAGAACCTTGGCCAAGTCACTTAACTTCCCAATCTGGCCTGGGGCTGATGAAGAAAAAGAACCATTAGTTTAAAAATAAAAAAAATTTTTAAATCCTGGAAACCCTGAAGCATAAAAGACCAAGGAGAAACAAAATACTCTAGCCTCAAGCCTAGAAAGTCTCTTTAAGCCAAGAGTTTCAGGAAAATTTAATACGAATTCATTCATTTTATATTTAAGTTCATGAGCCACACCCACATTGTATATCCCTGGTAAAAATTCTGAAAGGCCCAGAAAAGGGCCATCTCCATAACAGCAGCGTCTGTCTTTGGGCCCACATTTGCTTTCCAACCCCAAACAGAAAACCCTGACCCAGCACCCTCTGGGAAAATCAACCTTTGATTCAAAGAGACCTTGTTCAGTGACGATTATTACAGTCCCAGCCACACCATCAGCGCACCAGGAAGTCTTAGGAAGGGAAGCAGGCAGCCAGAAGGATAGGACCGTCCTCTCACCAGGAAGTAACTACCTCCAAGCAAGAGATGGGTGACTTGGTGCCACAGAAGGAAAGATAATTTAGCCATTGTGTTCACAACTAAGAGGCATCTTCATTCACTCGTGAAAGCCTTTCAATGTCACTGGTGCCTGGAACCAAACGTAATCCTCCCAGGCCGTGAGTGGGATGGGGGGTCTGCCACAGGACAGGGTCACAGTCAGTTTGTGGCCCCGTATGGGCACTCTATAGTTTAGCTTGGGTCGAAACCAGTCTTCTCCACAGTCACGGTGCCCCTGTGCCATGATGATAGTGCCCATGAGCGGAGGAGACTGCAGCTCACTGAAAGCATCAGCCACGAAAATGGCCCGGAAGAGACGGCGCAAACAAGCTGCTGTGCTCAGGGTCTGGTCCATGCTGTTGGGAGCCAAACGGGACAAGTCAATCTCGTAGAATTCCTTGGGACTTACAACACTGCCCCCAAGGAGGATGAGCACCCGCGGTACTAGTGTCCGGGCAAAGAGACCCTCTAGGTGGCTGAGGACACTCTCCAGTTCTGCCAGAGTTTGTTGGCATGTCCTGTTGCTTGCCTCAGCAGTGGCCCGAGGTTTCTTCTTCGCCATGTCCTCTGCCTATGAGGACAAAGAATGGTGAGAGAGAAGGCAAGGTAGGGGAAAGCTAATGACCTTTGAAGAACCCTGTTGGTTGGGGTGTAGACTCATGGGACTGGATTTCCAGTCGAGTGAACTGCCACAGCCAAGACACTGGGTTTTATCAAAAGGCAATATATCAAAAAGGAAAATACATTTTTTGGTACAAAACCATAATTCTCCCACACTTAGAACAGCAAAGATAGTGCTCTGAAGTAGGAGAGCATCCAGAAGTAAGCAACTGAAATAGTCAAGGGAATTTGGTGGCATAGCGGGTGGCAAATTTTTGCTACATAGGAGTGATAACAGGAATGATGATTATTTGGTCTAATAAAGGTGATTCTGGAGTTTGTTTTTCAATTAAACATGGTGAATGGAACACATGTTTATTTGTGCTCACATCTGAAATACTACTAAATGAGAGGAAAAGGAAGGGAGAAAGGAAAGGAAGGAGAGAGGGAGGAAGAAGGAGGGAGGAAGAAGGAGAATAGATAACAGTGGCCAGAGGCAACAACAAATTTTTGGAGGGCAGAAAGCAGATGGAATAGTTCAAGAGAGCTGAAAACCAAGTGCTGACAGAGGGGACTCCCATAAGAAGCAAACTGATTCACACAGCAGAACCCCAGAAAGGCTCGGGAACTGCTGATTTAGGCACTGCAGAAGGCAAGCGTGAACACGCCAGGACTGAGTGAAAACGTGAGGACCCTTAGATCACCTGCCAACTTCCTCCACCCAGAAAGAAGACTTTCCAATACTCATGTTTTTGGAGTCCTCCAAAGGGGCCACTAGGTTCCCACCCAATACCCTTACAGTAAAGTCTATCAGTTCACAAGGCCCAGCCATGGCAGGCCCACTCAGTGCTTTCAATGACTTATTCTTAAGTATTCACCAGACACAGACTAAAAGCCTCTAACATGAAAGTCAGAGACCGAAACAAATAAACAGGAAAAGGAATCTGGAAGAAACTGAGACACTGCAAGGAACAGAGGAAAACTTTAAAAAAGGGTCAGTTCATGAAGTCCAAATGCAACACACAATAGGAGTTTCAGAAAAAGAAAAAAAGAGAAAAAGTGGGGAGGGTTAGACTACCAAAGGTTACACTGCGGAGAAAGTGACTGAAGCCATGGGATGAAACACATTCCTTAACAGTTGTTTAGGCTGACGGGCCCTGAAGCTTCCTTAGACCCTCTTTCTACCTGCCTGAGAACTAACAGCCACAAAGTCTTCCCACCAACTTTCTCCCCAAGTGTGTGCCTACCTGGGGAGGTTTTCGGTAGAAGTGCTTAAGATGTTCATAGGGCAGAGGGAGTTGCTGGCGTTGGTACATGATATGCTTTAGAAGTTCACAAGTAAACCGACAGCAGCCTTCCTGGCTCACAGGCCCGGGAAACACCACTGGCACCAAACAGTCTCGGCGGCAAAAAGGCTCCGAAGAGACGGGAGGTTCTTGGGCAGAGGTAGTCTCAAGTAGTTCTATCTGGGGGGCGTGGGTTTTCTCCGACTTTTCACACCACTCCAAACCTGGTAGGCGCACAGAGGGACAAGACAGAAAAAACGAAAAACTCAAAGACCAAAAGCCAGTCTTCTCATGCCCTGAGGGCTTCATCGGCCAACACTGCGGAAGGGACAGCCCGACACACGCACATTGCCTCCGCAAACTCCTGTGTGGGCGGAGGCGGGAAGAATCCTGATCTGTCTCCTAAAGTGACTGAAGCGACGGCGGGGCGGTGAGAAGGTAGGGTGCCGGGTTTCGGCTGGGGCTCGACTCAGAAAGTGGAGGCTCTGATCTGAGTTGAAAGAAAGTGTAGTCAGGCGGGGAACAGAGCGCCGCCAAGATGAAGGCAAAGTGGGGGTGAACCAATGGGATCCAGGGCCGTGAGGGCGATGGTCACTAGGGCCGAGCCAGAGCCGGGAGGGACGCCCGGAAATGCGGACAGAGAAAGGGTCAGGACTGAATGACGGAAGGGAGCGGAGGCAGGAAAGAAACAGGCTCGCAAAGCTCCCCGAGCTCCGGACCCCACGCCTTACCAGGAACTGCGGCCGGGGACAGCACTTCCTGCTCCGGAGCCGCCATCACGACCTCCTCTCTCTCTCTTCTAGGTGCGGTTTGAATAGGCGCCTCGCGAGGCATCCTGGGAAGCCTGCGTCATCAATTCCGGCTCGGTTGGACCAGAAGCTGGCGCGGCGCGGCGCAGCCGCAGTGTGGTGGATAGGCTGGAGCGGGATTTGAGCCCTCGCACAGATATACCGAACCCACGGGGAACCCACGCGCTCTCAGCCACTGAACGCTGTCTTCCAAAGGACACTCGCCGTCACACATCCATTCTCTTCTGCGTTCACTATTCATTATGCACCTACATCGTGCCAGGCCCTGTCCTAGGTGCTGGAGACGCTGCAGCAAACAAGCCAGAAGCGAGCGCTGTCCTCAAGAGGTTTCCTGCCTATAGATACAATACAATGTGATTAATTATACAGTGGGGTGTACACGGGCTGTGGACGTGAAGAACAGGGGCGCCTAACCTAGATGGGGTGGGAGCGAGGGTTGGTCCAGAGGAAATGTGCCCAAGAAACTGTGACCTGTAGGGTGAGTAAAGATAAAGAGGAGGGCCTAATGGCACTGGAGATGTTGAAAGACAAGAAAGAGCATCCTCTACTCAAGGAATGAAAAGAATTCAGGTTATAAACAATTAAGGCTGTGATGGACAAACAGGAGCCAGATCATGGCAAGGTTTTATAAGCCATGTTAAGAGTTTGAACTTGATCCTGTGGGGGTTAGAGAAAGTTTGAAAGATTTAAGTAGGGGAGAAGTGTGATTAAATTTACATTTTATAAATTTAATCTCTACACTGGCTGCAGTGTAGAGATTAGATTACAGGAACGATAAGAGAGGAGGCAGGGATACCAGTTAGAGCTAGCAACTACAGTTACCCAAGTGCATGGTGACAGAAGCTTAAACTAGAGTAGTCACAGTAAGGTGGAGAGAACAGTGGGGTGGTGAACCCTAGAGATATTTAGGAGGTCCAATGAGCATTACTTGGTGATTTATCCCAGGAAGAAGGGATATAGAGAGAGGCTTCCAAGAAGACAAACAGGTTTTTCACTTCAGCAACTCGATAGCTGGTTATGCCTTTCAATGAAGGAGGGAACACTAGAGGAGGATCAGGTTTATTGGGGTGTGGGTGAGGGGAAAAGATGAGTTCAGTTGTTTTTTTTAAATTAAAGTTTATTGGGGTGACAATGGTTAGTAAAGTTACATAGATTTCAGGTATACAATTCTGTAATACATATTCCATATATCACATTGTATGCTCACCACCCAGTCAGTTTTCCTTCTATCACCATATATTTGATCCCGTTTACCCTCATCTACCATCCCCCTCCCCCCGAGTTCATTTTTTTTTCTTTTTAGATTTTATTAGGGAATAGGCGGAGGGGAACAGACAAGTTGCTGTCCTTTTGTTCTTCAGTCTAATTGTGGAGGACATCACTTCACTGGCCCATGTTGGTATTATCATTGCGCTCTTCCCGAGTGAGGCAGATCGGTCACCGGCCACTGGACAGCCGCTCACAGCGTCTCTTGGCAGCTCACACCGGCTGCCAGCCACTCACTCTGGCTGCCGGCCACTCACTGTAGCTTATGGCAACCCACTGCAGCAGGGGCTGCGGCCTACGCCATCACCGGCAACTCACTGCAGCCCAGCTCCAGGTTGAGCTGTTGTTCACTATCTTAGCTGTAGAGGGCGCAGCATCACTGGCCCTCATGTGGGATCTGAATGGGGACCCTGCTGCTCAGAGCTGGCGCTCCCAAGCCAAATCTTAACCAGCGCGCCACTCGGCCCGCCCCCCGCCACCCCCCCCACACCCCCCCAGTTCAGTTTTTGATAGATTGAGTTTGCCGTTCCACTGGACAGTGAAGAGATATTTAGGAACACCATTAGGAACAGAGATATGTATTTGAGAATCATCAGCATGGGAGTGGATAAGATCACCCAAGGAGGGTATGTAGAATAAGGATGAGCTAAGATCCCAAGATACTAATGTTTAAGAGAAGAGCAGAGAGAGAGAAGAACTTGTATAGGAGACTGAGGAGTAGCCAGAGAAGTAAAATAGACAAATATCAGGTCATGGAGGCCAAGAAAAGCATGTGTTTCAGGAAGTAGGGACCAGAGATCAATACATATTATATAAAAGTACAATGATTAAAATACTATGGCATTGGCTCAGGAATAAACAAACAAATAATAAAACAGAAGTGAGTCCAGAAACAGATCCATGTATATGTAAATGTTAGTATATGATGAGGGTGACTTTTCAAAGCAAATAATTGGAGACAATTCCCTAACCATTTAGAAGAAAAAAATCAAACTATTGGGTTGTTGGAAAAGTCATGATGCATGTTTGCAATAGATGGCACTAGTTCATTTTTGGAAGTACTAGAGTCATTCGCATCAACGTTATTGCTATGTCATTTGACAGCTGACAGTTCTAGTTTCATTCTAAAAAAATTGAGTGATTTGGTCAAGTTTTGGAGATTCTACAACAAGTTGAAGATGGAAGACCAAACTGCATTTTTGCCAAATTTTACTGTTTTGCTTCCATAAAGGGAAGAACATGTGTCAAGCTTGTGAAAAGTTGCATAAAGTTTACAGTGACAATGCTCTACAAGAATATCAGTGCCAACAACAGTTCATGAAATTTCGTGCTGGTGATTTTGATCTCAACAACACTCCTCGGTCAGGGAGGCCCACCGAGGTTGATGATGACAAAATAAAGGCATTGATGGAGTCAAACCCATGTTACATGACACAAGAGATTGCAGAAACATTGAACATCTATCATTCAAGCGTTCACGACCACCTGAATAAGCTGGGATACGTAAGCAAGCTCGATATCTGGGTTCCACATGAACTCAAAGAAGTTCATTTGAGGGTACGTATAAACATCTGCAATATGCTCATTAAACATGAGGAAAATTATCCTTTTTTGAAGCGACTGATAACTGGTGATGAGAAGTGCATTGTTGACAACTATGTGGTGCGCAAACGGTCTTGGTCCTGATATGATGATTCGCCTCAAACGACATCAAAAGGAGACATTCATCAGAGGAAGGTTATGCTCTCAGTGTGGTGGGATTTTAAAGGTGTCGTGTTTTTTGAGTTCCTACCGAAGAACCAAACAATCAATTCAAATGTGTACAGGCAGCAATTGGGCAGTTTGAACGAATCCATCATCCAGAAGCATCCAGAGCTTGTTAATTGTAAAGGAATTGTGTTCCATCACAACAATGCGAGACCACACACAAGTTTGATCACCGTCAAAAATTACTGGAGCTTGGATGGAATGTGTTGCCACACCCACCATACTCACCTGACCTTGCGCTGTCAGAATTCCATCTGTTTTGCTGTCTTCAAAACTCCTTGCGTGGTATAACGTTCAATTCAGATGGGGCTGTAAATCAGCACCCTGTTCAGTTTTTCTCAAATAAAGACAGGTCTTTCTATGAACAAGGAATTATGAAGCTCACTGAAAGATGGCAAACGCTTATCGAACAAAATGGGCAATATATCATTGATTGATCTTTGTACTTTATATAAATAAATGACCTTTGAAAAACATACACAAAATACGGCATGACTTGTTCCTACCACACATCCTACATGAAGATAAATTCCAAATAAATTAAAGATCTTATGTAAAGGTACTATACACAAAGAATAAATAACTAATTACATACCAGGAAAAATGTTTGTGTGTGTGTATATATATATCCCACAGCCAACCACCTCATAAGCACCTCAAATGCAACTTCTCCAGAAAACTAAACACATACGAGTATACCACCTTCCATCTCCTAATTTCCTGGACAGACATCCTTGTTCAGTTTACTACTCTGCAAGCCTTCATGCCTATCTGTGGTAAGCCAGGTTGTTCAAGAATGGGGTATCAAAATAAGTTTTCCCCTCCCATCTCTCAAAAGAAGTTCTCTACTTAGGAGACAAGGGGACTGGAATTGATGAAATAAAACTGTGTGTTGAAGTGGTTGAAAAATCCACAGAGATGACAGGACAAGTGTTATCAGGTGAGCACAGCAGGCCCTGGTTATCAAGAGAGCCCAGAGCTGGTGGTGGTAAAAATGTTGGGGGAATGCTTTTAGCTCTCCTCTCCAATCCCCATCCTTCTTGAGATCTCTCACTGAGTTCTTCCGTCTCAGTCTCTAAGTAGCAGTTTCCCTGGCAGGGCTGTACCCCTGGCTATGGCTCATCTCTGCAGCATAACCCTCTTTTAGCTGAACAGGGTTGATTAGAGAGGAGTCATATGTACTTTCAACCGCTGAAGACCACTTAATTGGATGGGTCTGCTAGGCCCTTTTGCAGATTTTGGTCCTTCTGTTCCTACTGCTCTGAGGAGTTATGCCATGTGGACAGCAACTCCATGATCAGTAACTTGCCCCCTTCTTTGTGGTATTGGGAGGAAGCCATGGATTCCACCACGTCTGAACCCCTGAAAGGATCACCAGAGGTAAGCCACTGTTGCAGCTTCTAGTTTTCCAAGGAAAACTGAGGTCTGGAGGAAAGGGCTGCTTTATTTCTTGGCTGTGTGAGCATCTCAATGTTTATGAAGCGAGGGGAAGTGAACAACAATGAGGGTGAGTCATGAGATAGCCACGGGCTGGGAATTGAACCCTAGCGTCCTGACTCCCAACCCAGCAACACTAACTTGCTTCTCCACTCTGCCTTTCTAGTGTTTGTACATTGGTTTATGTCGCTAAATGTGTTTACTCTTTGCTGACTGCAAGAGCCCTAAAGAGCAAGAGAGATGGCCTGGCAAAGTAAAAAGTCAGCGATCCTCTAGGGGCAGTTGGCCAAGTTTCTATTCTGGGCCACTTCCCCGCCCTCGCAGTGGTTGACTTAACCCGAGACCCAGCCCCGCCCCAAGTAGAGGCCATGCCCCTCCTACAGCCCTGGCTGTTTTAAAACTAAACTCCGTTCTTCTTGATTGGTTCTGCTTCAAAACAAAAAGTAGTAACACTCGCTGTGTATATCCTTGTAGCCCTCAGGCAGCAAGGCTGGTTTATGGGTTCGGGCCTCGTGTCGAGTCCACCGTGGTGTCTCGTGCTGCTAAAACCGGCCCCCGGAGGGTGCCAGCCAAGTAATAAGCAATGACTACTATGTAAAGGTGGCATAATCATCGTAACAATAACAGCCATAATTAGGCTAACCACCACCCGCCTCCGCCCTGGCATTCGCCCTGATTCACCCCTACGGCATGCCGACCGTCAGGGAAGAAACTGAGGCAGGGACGGAGCCAGCAGGCTGCAGGGACTAGTCGTCCTGAATTATACAGCTCTCCAGATCCAAAACTTGTCTAAGATCGCGCTAAGGGGCTAAATGCAAGAGCGCCCACAAAGCTTGAGTCGGATGTAGGCCCTCTGGTGACTGTCCCATCCCCAGGCCATAGGGCTCTAACTCCCTCCCCGCCACCACCACCCCCTCCAAAAAATATCCCTAGGAAAAGACCCGCTCAGAGCGCAGAGACTAGGAACCAGACTACAGCACCCTCAGGCCTTTGCGCTCAAAAGCGCGCTCCTTGTCTACGCCCCGAAGTCACCTGCGGCCCCGTGTGCCGTGATGCCTCCTGGGAGTTGTAGGGCGGCGGCGAACTCTTTTAAAGGAAATCCCAGGCTTGAGGACTCTATATCCCGTGGTGCCCCGCGGCTGTTTCTGACGCGCCCGGAGCCAGAGACGGGCGGGGGGGCGTGGCCTGCGTAAGGCCCCACCCCGCTCTCCTCTGGCTGGCCGGACGCGTCGGTGGCAATAGGGGCGGCGGCGGCGGCGGCGGTGGCAGGGGGGAGGGGTCGGNCAGCCATGCCCCTGCGTTTCCAGGGAAAAAGTCAAAATTCTCCTGCCTCCAGAATGCCGATCCCACAAAAGGGACAAAGCCCCACTTACGGGGGGGGTAGAAGCCTGATAGGCCCCGGAGGGTGGCGACCCCAGGCTGGTAGAGAATGGGATGGGAGACACTGTCCAGGGCCCATGACCACATATCTGCTGCAGGACAAGCTGCGAACAGGGGAGAAGGCAGTGGTACGTTTCCGCTTCCTGAAACACCCTGAGTACCTGAAGGTGGGCGCCAAGCTGCTGTTCCGGGAGGGTGTCACCAAGGGCATCGGCCACGTCACCGATGTGCAAGCCATTGCAGCAGGAGAGGCCCAGGCCAACGTGGGCTTCTGAACTCCAGGCAGGCACAGCTCGATTGCGGTCCCTACAATATATAAGGTGACTCTGGCCATGCTGCCCCCCATTGGCAGCTCTGTGTGTTAATAGGCTAGGGAGAGAGGGGTGCTCTCTGCCACTTGCTCTCTGCCACCATTCTGGCAAGGTGCCAAGCTTGGTATGGCCAGGGAAGGGCAGTCCTGAGGGAGAAGACAGGAGAATTCAGGGCAGTGCCCAGCAGCTGTGTCCACCTGGTCGGCTTGTCAATCCTGGCAACCCCACAGCCTGTCTGCTAGAGAGAGCTGACCGCCGCCACCTTGGCCCCACTGTCAGGACGGGGCATGATTCACCGGTGTGGTCCCTGCACTTCAGGAATTGTCACAACAACTGGGGGTGGCCCTCAAAGGCACTCCTTTTTCTATACCTCTTTTCAAGACCATGTAAGTCGGCCATCTCTACCTGACTGTGGACAAAAGACACCTGCTCCTGGCCATCTGGTGGTCCAGGGTCTGAAGAAATGGCACAGCAGTGCTAACACTGGGATTGGTACGAGGCATTGGGGCAGGGACGGGGCTGGAGGGGGTTGCTGACTCCCTTCTACGGGGGAGGGGTCGGGCGGGGGGCTGGCGGCAGCGGCGGATGGACTCGCGGGTATCGGAGCTGTTCGGGGGCTGCTGTCGGCCCGGAGGAGGCCCGGCGATGGGCGGAACCCTCAAGGCTAGGGGGGCCGGCGGCAGTAGCAGCTGCGGGGGCCCGAAGGGGAAGAAGAAGAACGGAAGGAACAGAGGGGGCAAAGCCAACAACCCCCCGTACCTGCCCCCTGAGGTGAGCACCTGAAAATTGGCGGGGTGAGAAGAAACCACTCTTTCCGGCCCTGGGACTTCAGGAAGGCGGGACAGAGAGAATTGATACCCCTTTCCGGTGTCAGGACCCTGGGGAAGAGGAGAACCCCTCTTTCCGGTCCCAGGACCCCAGGAAGGAGGGATAGAGAGACTGGCCCGCCCTCCTGGGTCAGGACCCCAGGAAGGAAGAGAGAAGGGAGGATCCCCCCTTTCTGATCCGGATAACCCCAGGAGGTGAAGTGGGGAAAGGGGATCCCACTCTCATCCCCTTGCGAATGGCAGAGTGGCATGCCCAGGCTCCATCCCTGTGCTGCAGCAGAGGAGAGACTGCATCCTGGGATGAGGAGGCAGAGTTTTCTAAACTTGTTTCCCAGGGAGGAGGGGAATACCTGGGGAAAAAGCAATATGTTCTGTCCCTGTCCCTGAGCACACGCGCGCGCACACACGCAATTAGAGAACCGCCAGGCTTAGTCCTTCAGCTCTTCGCCTGTTCTATAAGGAAGTGGGGACAGCCTCCACATACCTACTCCATCTACTCCCTAAGGTAGAGAATAACTGCTGGTTTGTCCTAAGAGGGAGGACCCAGAGGAAGAACCTAAACCAGTGCTTATCAAACTTCAGCTTGTATCAGAATCACCTGGATTGCTGTCCCATCCCTAGAATTTCTGATTCAGTAGGTCAGGGGCTGGCCCGATAATCTGCATTTCTTAGAAGTTACTGGGCCGTGCTAATGCTGCTGGTCCTGGGACCACACTTTGAGAACCATTGGCCTAGACCATCATCCTTATACCACGTCTCTGAAGCCACCCATCCTAATTCTTCTTCTTCAGCAAAATGATAAACAGGAAGGCCGTTGAATGAAAAAGATCTCCTTTCTGCTTCATGATGGAGAGATTATGTGTGAAGACCTGTGAGAGCCCGGGGTCAGAGGGCCTTGAAGGGATGGAATGATGACAGGAAGGGAAAAACAAGGATGACCAGGGAGGAGAAGTACAGAAATGCAGGAAAAGCCGAACAAGCAGATCCCTCTGCACCCAAGAGGGGAAGCCTCAGGCAACAGGACACTTCCTGTTGGGTCACCTGATATAGGGAAGAGGTAGAGGAGACTGCGGGGCGGATTCAGGATTTCACCTCAGCGGAGGCATAAGAGTTAGGGCATAGAAGGTAAAAGCCACAGTGAGTCCAGTTTCTGGAGTCTGTCCCCTTAATTATACTTTCTGAGTTTCTTCTCTTCATCTCAGCCCCAACTTTGGAGCCCTGCCCCTCTCTCACCCGGGCTTCTCTCTTATTGGGCTCGTGGTGACCAGTGCTGATTTCACCCTTTGGCCCTGGTCCAGAACTTGTTGCAGCTTTTTACTCTTGATGGCATCAGCTGAAAGGGGTGGGCAGGAAGAAAAGGGTGTCTCCCAGATCTGTGGCAAAGAATGGCCTCAGCAACCCAGACACAGAGGCGACAGATTTCTGGGCAAGAGCAGTTCTCCTCCCTGAGGAGAAGAAACGGGTGGTCTTACATCTTAGGGAGAATGTGCTGCCAGTGATCAAAGAAGGGAGGGACTCAGGGTTCTGTTCTGGCTTAGATGGGTGACTCGTTGTGCTCTTAGAGGCCTTTCCTTGAGCGAGGTCTCGCTGGGGCTGAGTAGAGGGCTTGTCTGCCAATGACCTTTGGCAGGCACCTGCCTAAGCAGGTGCCACTGGGGCGTCTTCCTGCTCTCTCAAGTTAGCTGCTGCCTGGGCTTCAACAGGAATCAGGAAAGTAGGGGTTGGATCTGGATGGGTGTGTGGTAACTGCTCCCTGTTTATTTTCAGGCTGAAGATGGAAACATCGAATATAAAGTAAGTCTCAGGGTGGGAGGGACAGGTTGTCCCTGCTGGTGTGGGATGATGATTTCTCTGGGATCCTTCCAACTCATGATCTATAGTAACTTAGGAATGTGGTTCCGGGTAAGAGCTCTGTACCTCACTCTGGTGGGATGGGACTCACAGTTAGAGGGGGTCAGGGATGAGGGGGTTTAAGTGGGAAGGTCAGGTCCCGGTCCTTGCAGTAAGACAGGTGGTGAGCATGTGGGTTTAGGAGGAGCGTCTCTGATTTCACCTTTTCATGATACCTCGCCTGCCCTAACTAAGCTGAAGCTGGTGAATCCATCCCAGTACCGCTTTGAGCACCTGGTGACACAGATGAAGTGGCGGCTCCAGGAAGGCCGCGGGGAGGCCGTCTACCAGATTGGGGTGGAGGACAACGGGCTGCTGGTGGGGCTGGCCGAAGAGGAGATGCGGGCCTCCCTCAAGACCCTGCACCGGATGGCGGAGAAGTATGCTTCCCCTTCCTTCTCTGTTCTCTTCCCTAACTCTGGGGAGGCCCCGCGTGTACCCAGTCACTTAGGGCCGGAGGGGCCAAGGAGGGACTTTCCTTCTGCTGCCTTCTCTTGACAAAGGGCTGAAGTGGGGAGGGCTAGTGTTCTGGGCTCCTCCACATTGGACTGAGGCTTTTTTGCTCCTTGATTTAGGATTTGTTTGTTTGTTTGAAGGGAGCTGTGAAAGTGGGATAGATTGGAGGGTGGTAGGAGGCGAGGTAAGGCGTTGGGAGCTCTGTGGGAGATGTGGAAAGGCCATTGGTCCAGAGCCAGGATGGAAGGAGTGGGGGAGTACAGGTGAGATCTGGCAGCTGTGGTCCTGCTGTGATAGGGTCGGGGCCGACATCACTGTTCTCCGGGAGCGAGAAGTGGATTATGATAGTGACATGCCCCGGAAGATCACTGAGGTGCTGGTACGAAAGGTCCCTGACAACCAACAGGTGAGCACACAGCCTTCCCTGCCGTTTATGCCCATGCTCCCTGGGAGGGCCCAGTGGTAGCGGGGGGGCTGGGGGGTGTCCAGGTCACCATTTGGTCCCCAAGGAGCATCACTGCCCTTGAGCCAACCTTCAGTGAAAAGAGGTGAGGGATTGGAGCCCTTACCTCTGACAATTCATCCACAGTTCCTGGACCTTCGTGTGGCCGTCCTGGGGAATGTGGACTCAGGGAAGTCGACTCTGCTTGGAGTGCTGACCCAGGGAGAGCTGGACAATGGGCGGGGCCGGGCTCGGCTCAACCTTTTCCGCCACCTGCACGAGATTCAGTCCGGCCGAACCTCCAGCATCAGCTTCGAGATCCTGGGCTTTAACAGCAAGGGAGAGGTGCATGCAATCAATGGGACCCAGTGGGGCCAGACTCTGAGGGTGGGAGGGTCTTGGTGAGGGACAGAGCCCGAGGGCAGAGAGGAGACCTTTAGGAGTGGAGTAGATAAAGGCCCTGAGGGTAGTGAACAAGCTCTGGCCTTCTTAGAAAGCAAACTGGGAATCAACTGAATTAAATCAGAAATGGGGTTCACGGTTGAGAGGCAGGGTCACCCAGGGGCTGATTTAGGTCCTGGCAAGTCTTAAAGGGTTGGGGATGCTGGCAGGGGGCACTGAGAGCCCTGGGTTCTGGGCCAGGTGGTGAATTACAGTGACTCACGGACGGCAGAAGAGATCTGCGAGAGCAGCTCCAAGATGATCACCTTCATCGACCTGGCAGGCCACCACAAGTACCTGCACACCACCATCTTTGGCCTCACCTCTTACTGCCCTGACTGTGCCCTGCTCCTCGTCAGTGCTAACACTGGGATTGGTACGAGGCATTGGGGCAGGGACGGGGCTGGAGGGGGTTGCTGACTCCCTTCTTCCCTGGGCCTCCTCAGATCTGGGAGCCAGATGAACTCTCCTTTTCGCCCCTCTCCTCACGCCCTCATTCTCACTCTTCTCTCTTGCTACCTGCCTGCCTTCTCTGAGGCAGCTGGCACCACAAGGGAGCATCTGGGGCTGGCCCTGGCCCTGAAAGTGCCCTTCTTCGTCGTGGTCAGCAAGGTGGACCTGTGTGCCAAGACCACAGTAGAGAGGACGGTACGCCAGCTTGAGCGGGTTCTCAAGCAGCCTGGCTGCCACAAGGTCCCCATGCTGGTCACCTCTGAGGATGATGCCGTCACTGCTGCCCAGCAGTTTGCCCAGTCACCCAAGTAAGCCTTTCTCACTCCAGAGCCCTGGTCCACGGGGAAGGCTGCCACAGGGCTCTGCAGCATGGGGTCCCACCCCAGGACCAAACCAGCTCTTGCCCAGTTGTGTGGTTTGGCAGGTTGGGATTGTGGGAGGGAGTCTTTGCTGAAGGGCTGACCCTTCCTCCAAGCCAGCCTGGAGCTTTGCTGATGCCTGGGACCCTGGAGACCAAGTGCTATGCCAGGCATTTGCCATCTCCCTTGGGCCCTGGGATGGGTTTTGTGTACCTCATTCCTTGGCTGGCTCACCAAGAGAGGGCCCTGAGATCCTGCGAAGGTTAGCAGGTAGTAGAGGAGGCCCCTAGCCACCCTGAGAGAAGCTCACCCTTCCATGTATGGGGCTTTAGCCTCTGCTTCCTGTTAGAACTTGCCTCATCTGTCCATTTCATGCCTCTCTCCTCTACAGTGTCACCCCCATCTTCACACTGTCCAGCGTGTCTGGAGAGAGCCTGGACCTGCTCAAAGTCTTTCTGAATATCCTGCCTCCGCTCACCAACAGCAAGGAGCAGGAGGAACTCATGCAGCAGCTGACGGAGTTCCAGGTAATTGTCCACTGGAACAGGCAGTCAGCTGGGGAACTGGAAGGGCTAATTCTGACCGAGCCCCGGGTCTGTTTAGAGATTTTGGACCTGCCAGCCCTGCTTAGAATTGATAGAATTTTCTTTGGCTTCAGGTGGATGAAATCTATACAGTACCCGAGGTGGGGACCGTTGTTGGAGGGACACTTTCCAGGTGAATTGCCTTGCTTGCTACCCACCCTTCTCAGCCCTCACATATCCATACACTCGAAGATGTCATGGCCCACAGGAGACCCTGGAGTTGAACAGAGCCCAGCTAGAAGACATGCTTGTTTGCAGATTAGGCTTCCACCATCAGAAGAGCTGGAGAAAGCTAGTCTATTGGCTTATGAGAGAAAAGCAATATTGCTGCCCCTGAGGGAGACGTGTGGGTCCTGGGCCCCAGGAAGAAAACTAGAATATATTCAACTGGCTTCATCTCCAAGTAGGGAAATGAGAGGTCCCTTAAGACTCTTTCCAAAGCAGAGGATGAAACCCAAGGGGCTGTCTTGCTCTTTCAGGGATCAGGTGTTCAGTATCAAACCAGCAGGTGCCTCTCTGGCCAGCTAGCGCTGCCTTTCCTGGTATTAGCCTTCAGAGTCTGAACTCTGAATTGGGCAGGGCAGTCATCTTCTCTACCTCCAAGTCAGAATTTAGGGTCTCTTTCCCCATCCTGAGAGACTCAGCCTTAGAAGGGAAGGAATGCTCTGGGTGACCCGAGCAGAGAAGCAGGTCAAGGAGCCTAGGCTGACACTGTGCCATCCGCCCTCTGGGCTGCAGTGGGATTTGCCGTGAGGGCGACCAGCTGGTGGTGGGCCCCACGGATGATGGCTGCTTCCTGGAGCTGAGAGTATGCAGCATCCAGCGCAACCGCTCCGCCTGTCGTGTGCTGCGAGCTGGTCAGGCTGCTACACTGGCCCTCGGGGACTTTGACCGTGCGCTCCTTCGCAAGGTGAGGTGGGAGAGTGGGTTGGAGAGAAAACACAAAGAGAAGTGCCTGGGAGCCCGGCTACTTGGATGAGGAGCACCTGTCTAAGGGGAACTCCAAGAAAACATGGTCTCTACCCTACGAAGCTGGTTACACAGACTGTCTGTGTAGGAAAAGGCTTCAAATACTCATAAAGCACAGCTCACTAAATAGGAATCACTGTAGTGCGACATGAGTTTCTAAGACCCTAGTAATACAAAGCATTAGAAGAGCTAGAGGACATGGGAGGTGGGTAGGAAGTGTTCCCCTAAGAAGAGAGCTTTGAATATTGTCTTCTGAGGTCTTGTATTTGAAGCCATAGAGGAAGAGGAAACTTAGGGTAGGAGGGTATGAGGGTGGCTGTGGAGGGAGAGACTAATGTGAGGTCTGCCCTTCCTGGGTCTGGGGACTGTGCCTTCCCAGGGCATGGTGATGGTGAGCCCCGAGATGAATCCCACCATCTGCTCGGTGTTCGAGGCAGAGATCGTCCTACTGTTCCATGCCACCACATTCCGGCGAGGCTTCCAGGTGACAGTACACGTAGGCAACGTCCGCCAGACGGCAGTGGTGGAAAAGATCCATGCTAAGGTGAGAGGGCCCCAGCCATGCCCCTGCGTTTCCAGGGAAAAAGTCAAAATTCTCCTGCCTCCAGAATGCCGATCCCACAAAAGGGACAAAGCCCCACTTACGGGGGGGGTAGAAGCCTGATAGGCCCCGGAGGGTGGCGACCCCAGGCTGGTAGAGAATGGGATGGGAGACACTGTCCAGGGCCCATGACCACATATCTGCTGCAGGACAAGCTGCGAACAGGGGAGAAGGCAGTGGTACGTTTCCGCTTCCTGAAACACCCTGAGTACCTGAAGGTGGGCGCCAAGCTGCTGTTCCGGGAGGGTGTCACCAAGGGCATCGGCCACGTCACCGATGTGCAAGCCATTGCAGCAGGAGAGGCCCAGGCCAACGTGGGCTTCTGAACTCCAGGCAGGCACAGCTCGATTGCGGTCCCTACAATATATAAGGTGACTCTGGCCATGCTGCCCCCCATTGGCAGCTCTGTGTGTTAATAGGCTAGGGAGAGAGGGGTGCTCTCTGCCACTTGCTCTCTGCCACCATTCTGGCAAGGTGCCAAGCTTGGTATGGCCAGGGAAGGGCAGTCCTGAGGGAGAAGACAGGAGAATTCAGGGCAGTGCCCAGCAGCTGTGTCCACCTGGTCGGCTTGTCAATCCTGGCAACCCCACAGCCTGTCTGCTAGAGAGAGCTGACCGCCGCCACCTTGGCCCCACTGTCAGGACGGGGCATGATTCACCGGTGTGGTCCCTGCACTTCAGGAATTGTCACAACAACTGGGGGTGGCCCTCAAAGGCACTCCTTTTTCTATACCTCTTTTCAAGACCATGTAAGTCGGCCATCTCTACCTGACTGTGGACAAAAGACACCTGCTCCTGGCCATCTGGTGGTCCAGGGTCTGAAGAAATGGCACAGGGACAGTGAATGGCAGTGCTCGCATCCCGTGCTGAGACATGAAGCCTATTCCTCAGCTTTATTTCTCTTCCCTTCACTCAAGGGCCATGTCCCGTTTCTCCTCTCAGAGGCCCCACAGGTGCTATTTGTTGTGCTGGCCCAGGCGTGGGGCCGCCGAGCTGAGGCTTGGCACACCAAAGGTCAGCTGCATGTCAATCAGTTTTGTCCCCTCCTCTGCAGTGATCTGTTGGTTTTCATGCTGAATCAAACAGTATGTTTTACTTTCCCAGACTGACCGAGTCCCCATTCCTGCCACCCCCACCCCGCTTCCTGCTCCTGCATAAGTCTTCTCTTGTTTTAGTGATTTGCAGTGACACCTTTCCCTCTGTTGCTGGGAACCTGGAGGAAAGGGAAGGATGTTGCCTTTAGGGTATGGACTCCATCCTTTCCCTTCGTTAGTGTCCTGGGTTCCCATGGACTCAGGGATTTGTTGGTTGAGGTTTCTCTGTATATATTTTATATATATATATATATATATATATATATATATATATATATATAATACATATATATTTAAATACACACACACATATATATATATTGTACAGAATAAAAATGTTTTATTGAATACACCATGCTTATGCTTAAGACACAGGCTCAGCTTCCAGAGCTAGATTCCTCTTCAGAATTAGAGATGCGAAACCCTAACACTGCTGAACCCCGAATGGGGAAAGAACCCATCAGGTATCTCATTCACCGTCCTTCCTTTCTTCTCCCCCATGTGATCAGTGTTCCAGTATTATGACTAAGTATTCTGGCCTGTTTTGCATAGTTTTTGGAGTGAGCAGAACAGAAAGTGAAACTGTCACTTTTTCAACTGAGAAAGGTAACCTCCCCATATGAGGACTTGGCCATCTGCTAATGGTCACAGTGGTAAGGGCCCATTACTGTGCCCTTTCAGAGATATGGAGATGAGCGTGCCAGCTGCTTAATGAAGAGTAGAATTTACAGACATGGCAATCTGGTCCTACGCTTTTTCTAGCAATGCGAAATAGCCTGAAGTGAGGTTTATACAGCCTAAACTAGCTTCTTGGCGCTATGAGGGCCACATAGTCCCTTCTCCCCGTTTCTGTGTTCAGAGTACCTGACTCTCACATTTTATGGGTATAGAAATGGGGCCCAATGTTAAAGTCAACTACAAAAAGCAGGGACTACATTTTGAGTACTGATCTTTGCAAAAGAAACGTAATGATAAATGTGGCCTGAGGTCCCAAGGGGCATTCTGCCTCCAGGGTATTAAAGTGATAGCTTTCCTGCCACTCACATTCAGCTGCTTTTAAAAATTATCACTGGTTTAATTTGCTGCTAAGAAGCCTGGGGTTGAAGACCTTCCTCCTGTGTTGGGAACTAAGAGCTGTTTACTTCTATACAGTTGCTGAGCTCTGAGGAAAGGTTATATTCAGAAAAAAAGGCATGTTTTGTTTTTGTTTTGGGGAGGCAACAAAGTTATGCTCAGAAACTGATTTGTGTTTTCCAGTAATTTATTTAGCTCAAGTTTGCTGTTGAGAATTATAATTTACAAGCCAATAGTGTACAGGATAATAACTCTTAATAAGCCAAATAAAGAAATAACATACTCCAAACAATGACAGATTAATCACACTACTGTTCTAGGCAAGGGAGGTGAAGGAGTAAAGTCTAAATTTAATATGAAGTGTTCCTTTTTATATACCAGGAGGCACTTGGGAGAGCTGGCAATCAACCAAAAAGCTGATTTTCAGCTGCCAGCGCAAAAGTCCCCTGTTGCTAGAGCACGTTGCTAGGGAACAAGGACACCAGTGTTAGCAGGAGGACTGAGCTGCTCCAGGATTGTCATTTCTGAGACCCCTGCATGAATTTAACACCACTGCCAACTGGTAGGAGTAAATGTCTCAAGGGTCTTTGGAGAGTTTTCAGTTTAGCAATGAGTTGCCTCTCCCAAACTGAAACTATCAAATAGTCCTCACAAACTCTCAGTATTTATAGTCTAAATGTTCCCTTGCCATCCTTACATGTTCTTATCAACTGCTTATCAACGACAACATGCAGAATGATGACATCCTGGTATGACTTAAAGAAACTTTAGGGGCCAGCCGAGTGGCGTGTTGGTTGAAAGCTGGCTTGGGACGCCAGAGGGCTCCGGTTTGACAGAGCCCTGGTTTGGATCCCACATATGAGGGTCAGTTACACTGCCCTCTACAGCTGAGATGCTGAACAACTGCTCAACCTGGAGCTGGGCTGCCAGTGAGTCGCCGGCGATGCCATATGCTGCAGCCCCTGCTGCAGTGGGTTGCCATGGGCTACCATGTGTAGCCAGCAGTCAGCGTGAGTGGTCAGCAGCCTCTGTGAGCGGCCATCCAGAGGCCGGCGACTGATCTGCCTCGCCCGGGAAGAGCGCAATGATGGTACCAACATGGGCCAGTGAAGCGACATCCTCCACAACTAGACTGAAGAACAAAAGGACAGCAACTTATCTGTTCCCCTTCCCCCAATTCCTCAGCACTGTTCCCATCCCACAATAAAAATCTTAAAAAAAAAACCGAAAACTTTTAAAAAAATTGTCATAAACAAGTGAATTAAAACAACTTAGGGGGTGGCTGAGTGGCTCAGTTGGTTAAGAGCGAGAGCTCTGAGTAACAGGGTTGCCGGTTCAATTCCCACATGGGCCAGTGAGCTGCGCCCAAGCTAAGCTGCCACTGAGCTGCAAACAGGTGCAGGATGGCTCAGCTGGTGAGAGCACACTGCTCCTAACAACAGGGTTGCCAGTTTGACTCCCGCATGGGATGGTGGGATGCCCACACGCAACTAATATTTAACACGGCACCTTGAGCTGAGCGGCCACAAGCTGCCGACAGGCGGCCAGATGTCAACTGGACTTGGAGCTGAGGTAGCTGCGCCTTCCACAACTAAGATTGAAGGACAACTTGGCTGTTCCCCTTCCCCAATTCCCCTTTAAAATCTTAAAAAACAAAACAAAGAAAAACAACTTAGGTCATATGTGGATTTGAAATCATAAACCTATACACAAGGTACTGTAGCTTTCACCTGTTAATAAAAATTCATTTTTTAATTAAAAATATTTTAAAATTTTTTCCCTGGATTAAGAAATTTTGGAAAATCATCTCAGTACTTAATGAGACATCTCCAGGAGCTAGTGAGCCACTTTGTTACATCAGTGGACCGACCATTTAGGATAAAAAGGTATATAAGACAGCCTCCTCCCACCCCAGTAGTAGGTACATTTTTATTGTTCCTGTTCTGGTATTCATCTAAAAATTTTCAGTTTCATCCAGCGAATATCAAGCACCTATTATGTGCAAGGCACTGAAAAATTCTTGGCTTCAAAAAAATATAGATCTAGTAAGGAAAGGACCATCTACACAGAGACTACTGCCATTTAACTGCAACAAAAATGGAAACTATATATTTTTAAAAGATTTTATTGGGGAGTTGGGGGAGGGGAACAGAGAAGTTGCTGTCCTTTTGTTCTTCAGTCTAGTTGTGGAGGACGTTGCTTCACTGGTCCAAGTTGGTATTATCATTGCCCTCTTCCCGGCTGAGGCAGTTGCTCACCAGCCATTGGATGGCAGCTCACGGAAGCTCACAAAAGCTCATGCCAGCTGCCGGTCAGCCCCACTGCAGCCCACGCTGTCGCCAGCAACTCACAGCAGCCCAGCTCCAGGTTGAGCTGTTGTTCACTGTCTTAGCTGTAGAGGGCGCAGCATCACTGGCCCTCATGTGGGATCCGAACCAGGGCCCTGCTGCTCAGAGCTGGAGTCCCAAGCCAACTCCTAACCAACGTGCTACTCGGAGGGCCTTGGAAAATATTTTTGAAAGAAGAAATTTCCTGCTAGGCCTAATGGCTTTCAAATGTCTCCCATCCCCTGCCTTATTCAAACTAAATACAGACCCCCAATTTATAAATAAGCTTAAAGACCGATTGGTTTGTACATATGTATGGGAGGGGGGATATGTACACCATTCTCCCTGCTTCTCCATTTCTCTCACTACTACCTAACAGTTCATCTTCAGTTTTAGTCAAGGTTCCCCATATCAGAAAAGCCAAAAAAGCTGACTTTCCACAGATAAGAACAGAGATTAAGAATGCAGTACTATAAACATGGACAAGTACAAAAAAGCTACAATCATTAATTTAAAAACCCTAAGCTAAATAGTCAAACTTCAATAGGGAAGAGATGAACACACCAGTGACCCTGAAGGCCCAAGGACTTACCCCTTAAATTTGTACTTTATGGTTTAAGGAAATGCTCTCTACAAGCCTGGCCAACCATTGGTATCTTCTAGAGCAGTATTTCTCCAACTTTCAGGTACACGCTGAGGAATCTTGTTAATATACAAAGTCTGATTCAGTTGGGGTGGGCGTGAGGCTGAGACAAATTCTGACAAGTTTTCTGAGGATGCTGATGCTGCTCCTCAAAAGCACATTCAGAGGGCCGGCCGAGTGGCGCGATGGTTAGGAGCTGGCTTGGGACGCCAGAGGGCCCCAGTTCGGATCCCACATGTGAGGGCCAGTGACACTGCCCTCCACATCCCCAAAAAAAAACTTTAAAAAAAAAAAAAAAAAAAAGCACACTCAGAGTCGCAGAGTTCTAGAGATAATCTAGTTCTAATCATGATTTACCCAATCCAAACAGTTCCTAAAGTGGTCCAGTCACAACCTCATTCTACGTAAGAACAAGATGCAAGAGTTAGAAGGGCCATTGGGTAAAACGGTGGCTAGCATAAGGTTTGCTTGTATGAAATTCAGTATTTATTGAGTAGTTTCTGTGTACAGAGCCTTGCCCTGAACTAGTTATCAGTTTAGGGTTTCAAGTCTTCACTTCACATTCTCAAACCTCACATTTTGGTCATGGCATTATCTGAACTGCCCCTGTCACAGAACTAGAGGGAAAAATTTTTTAAAAACTTTTTACTCAGTTCCTTTTCTGTGCTACAGTACTTTAAACACATTGTTCTTAATCTTCAATATTGGTAAGGCATTATCTGAGTTTTACTCATTACCTCAAAAATGAGGCAAGGTGAAGAAATTGACTTGCTCATGGACATATATTCCAAGAGGCAGAGCCAGATTTGGAACCAGATCTCTTAGGCTCCAAGACTCACAATTTTTACTGCGTGACACCGCCTCCCTAAACTCTTGATTACAAGACTCAAAGCAAAATAATAAAGCAGTTGTATCTCTGGAAGATGCATTTTTACATCTCTATCAGCAATGGAACTAGAATCCATACCAGGGAAGAGATGGGAGCCTTAACTCAGCATCTAACTGATTATTTTTCTTATCAAACATTTCATAAAGTTATAAATTTCCTTGAGAAGTGAACATATTTCCATTTCCCAGATTACAGATAAAATATTAAAACCCTGCAGCAAGCCTGAGGGCAGAACTAGGGTGTTAAAGGCTTGAAAAATGATTCTAAGGTCTGCATGCCCTCAGGCCTAGGGCGCTTATTTCTGGAGGCCAAAGGGCTCTTGGGATTTCTTTTGCTTTGAGGAGAACTGGCAGGAACAATCAGCGGGTTTGAGGACTGGGGCTGCAAAAAGGATTTCTGCAACTCCAATGCAAAATGGTAGTCCATATGCTCTGGCATCTCCCACACAAGGACCAGAGAGCCACACTTCTCACAGGGCACTTGGTCCTCAGGAGCCAGAAGACTCGAGGTAGTCGTTTCCTTCTGAACCATCTTCAGAACAGACTTGGAAGTCACAGGAGTGAGCCCACTGGGGCTGTTTTGAGCCAAATCCATCTCTGTGGTAGTTGCTTTAGAGGATTCTAGCTTCAAAACCTCTTCACAGACAGGGGTGGAATCCAGATACTCTGTTGGTAACTCTTTAGAGCTAGACTGTGGATTTTGTGGAGGAGAGACAATTGGAGGGTTATTTAACTCTTTTTGCTTTAGAAGCAGACTTTTCTGCTTAAAGAAGGGCTCGATTCCTGTAGTACGACTGGTTTGGAAAGGTAATGACGGCTTGAGTGGCGAATTGCTCTTGAGGGCCTGGGTCGTGGCAGTAAGAGATGGGAGTGAAGCTTCTTTGACTTTCTGCTTTTCTGCAGCTTTTTGGAAGAATGATTCCAGAGAAGTGGCTGCTTTCTTAGTGGCCACCGATGGGCCACTTCCCTGGGTCTTAGCTTCTGGACTAGTAATTGGCGCCTTTGATGGAGAACTTGGGTCATTGCTCAGGAAGACAGTGATGTCTGTGATAGATGAAGGGGCAGAGGAAGAGAATTTGGTCGCACAGAGAAACAGCATCGTGAGGGGAGGGGACCTGTATAGGAAGTAAAGGAACAAGATTAGCACCAGGTCACACATTCAATTTATAAATGACTGGGATTCTGGTTCTGCCACAAGAAGAAATTATTACTGCATTGATTCCCAAACTTTAGATGATCAGATTAATACAGATCAACAGACCTGGGATGTGCTGAGAATTTGCCTTTTGAACAAGTTCCCAGGTGATGCTGTTGTTGCTGATCTAGGACCTAAGATTCTGCTGCAGCGCTGCTGTAATTCAGGGTTCGGGCAAGAAAGTTTACCTGGGGCAACTAAAAAGCTTTAGAATATTTAGACTGGAAAGACTCTTGAAAAAAACCCTCTCACCCATTCTCCTGTTTTTAAGAGGGGATCTCGTTACCCTAACACTGACAGACTTTCATCTCTGTAATTCCTCCAGAATGAAATTCCACGGCTTTTGGTTACCTATCCTAGTCTCAGAAACATTTCAAGACATTCCTGTCATAAAGTTCCTCATTATGTCTAATTACCCAAATAAGTTTTCACGAGTTGAATTTCAGAAGGTGAAAGGTACTTTTCTATGTAGATTAGTCCCTCGATAAGGTAAAGAGTAAATGCTATTTTAAAATTATTATGACAGTATCTCACTATCCTCCAGTTTCATGCTTGGGGACAGTCTTATAATCAGATAATTTTGATGCTTCCCTGTCAATAAGGTTCACATTCTTGGTGGGGTAGTATCTGTTAGAGTCTGTCTGTTTATAAAGTTTCATATGAACACAGTATCACAATTATCATTTGGTTCAGTAAAAATGTTCAATTGTTTAAAATAAATATACCAGGAAGTAAAAGATAAGTAAATTATTCTAAGGAAAGAACAGACTCCAACTTCAGATACCCAGCATATTGTACATCTATACATACAATAGTAGTGGATAAATATTTAGATAAGCAGTACCATAGGTGGTTAACTAAACATTTATTTCTCAGAATCTTCACTATAGATCTATAGATAAACAACCAATTTATTTTTCTCACATAGTTATGTTTCTGTTGTGAATTTAGAATACTTTTTTCAATGTAACAGGCCATGTTAAATAAATAATTAAAGGAGTCCAACACTGAAAATAATATCTGGACAGTAAATGAACACACACCAGTCATAAATTTGGATATTTTTCATGACCAACTGAAGTTTATTATTATAATATGGCATTCGGTATTACACCAGTGGAGCTTGTAACTGAGTTGGGATGTTAGAGATTATGAATGAATATAGGTCCCTTTCATTCTCAAGGAAGATGCTTTCAAAATAGAACAAATAGTTGGGAGAGAAGTTCCCAAATGTACTACATTATTGAAGCTTGAGTTCTGTACTCCCAAGTACAGGCAACTGGTCATTCGCCTGAATATTGCAAATTGATACAGGCAGGGATAGTACTGGATCGTTCTGCCTCTCAAACCTACCTCTGGGAACTGAAATGCATCAAATGTAAGCAAAGAAGCTATAGCTGAGCTGCCTTATTTCTGGCATTTCCATGGTGTTCCCTCCCTGGTGCACGACCATCCCCCTCTGTAACAGGTCCTGCTAGCCAGAGTCACAAAGACCCTACCCCAGCTGAAAGCTTACATACCCACTAATTTTAGAGCAAGACAGGGTATAAGTCTCTTCTGAGAAGATGGGCTAGAACGCCCCTCACCATATGGTTTGGACTCCCGAAGTGTTACAGTTCCTGATGACAGCAAATGCATCGCGGCTCATCCTGTGAGCGTCATAGCGGGTGAGGGCACAGCAGCGGCGCAGGCTGCTGAGACGCTTGTCACCTTGTACCCGAATGCTCACAGTCAGCTGTGTGGCCACCCTGTCATTCTGCGGGTGGAAAAGGATTGAGACCAGAACTAAAGTTACTGTGAGCATCTGGATTCTATATACTGAACTGAGTGAGAGGAAATTAAAAGAACCAGGGTGACAGAATGGTTTGGAAATAGTTGAGTTTAACTTAAAATTTAAAAATGTTTGTGCTATTTTAAGGTGTCAGAAGAAATTGGAGAAGATAATTTGGATGATGCAATATTAGCATATCTAGGAAATTTTGGGAACAGGACAGAATAAATGAAAATGGATTTCCTGATTTTTTTTTTGTGCTGTCCATGCAGGAAGATTATAACAAATACCTACAGTACTATATTCTATTTTGTGACTGAAGGAAGGGCTCATGTAAGTAATTGTCTGAAAGGAAGATCCAAGCTAGGATGTCAATAGATCCAAGTAGGGGATCTATTCTTTAATCTGTCCTGATGCTCTTATGCTTAATAAGAGCAGAAGTTCCCATTTCTTTACAACCCATCTCTAGAAGATACAGTGTAGTGAGCCTGCCTCTAGAGAGCAAAGTCATTGATTCACTTTTCAGTGACGTCTAAGCAGCTGAACACTGTTGAGGCAAAGCAAACTAAGAAACAAAGGTCAAGAGGCAGAAATATAAGGAGTTAAAAATCCTACACAGGGATCCTCTCAAAATGAAAAGATGTTAGTGAGAAGAAATACCCTCGTAAGGCAAACAAGCCAAGAGCAACAACTAATTTTTGGTAAAAATACAGTTTGTATTTTTGTACATTTTGTAAGTACGGTTGGTACAGATTTGTATGTCTTGAGAGAATACAAATTGGCAATGACAAAGGAGTCCTTGCTGACTAAAACCATTCAACTATAACCAAATGCCTACTACGTACCAGGTACTGTCTGGACATAGAGGAGAGAACAATATAAAGTCCAGGCCCTCACTGACCTTATCTTGTAGTAAGAGCTGCAGATAATAAGTCGACATGTAATAGAAATTACTACAAAGTGCTATGGAAAAAAGCAGACTAAGGCAGAGAGTGGTGCCAGTGCTGATGTAATAGGGTGGCTGGGAAAGGCGTCTCGGAGAAGGTGAAATGTAATCAGAGACCTGAATAAATTGAGGGAGCAAATTTTAAGAATATAAGAGCAAAGATTCTCCAGGCTGAAGGAATAGGAGATACAAAAGTGCTAAGGTAAGAGCTTGCTTGGTGTGTTAAATAAAAGGGAAGGAGGCTAGCAGAGTAGAGGCTAGAGCAGGGCGAGTGAGGGGGAGAGGATAGGAGATGAGGTCAGAGAAGTAGCCAGAGACCAAATCATACTGGTCATTATAGAATAAAAGAAAAGAAATCCACACATGACTTAAGTGTGAAGGGAAGCCACTAGAATATTTTAAACAATGAAATGACAGGATCGTCTATGTCCAGAATTCTTTTTGGCATAAAATCCTTAAGCTTAAAGACAGACTAACTTTCAGGGATCCCTACTATGTTGCACTGGATACAAACTGGGAAGACAAGTCCCAGCAGTTTATAAAGAGAGATGAGAATGGAGCGACGCCTAGTGGGCAAAGTCAAATAGGCTCACAACATTCTTTGTGTCACCTCCCAAAGAACAAACATTAACCACCAATCCAGCTAAAAAGGGGCACACAGGTAGTTTTGGATGATTCCTGACAGTATACAGTTGACTTGTAGGGCTCCCAGATGTTTCAGGAGAGGACACATCAAACGATAGCATCAGGAAGGTGAAAAGAAATCCCACACATTGGGAGAAAAAGATTTTGCAAATTATATATCTATATATATCAAGGGATTTGTACCAAGGATATATAAAGAACTCTTAAAACTCAATAATAAAGAGACACATAGCACATTTCAGAAATGGGCAAAGGATCTCAACAGATGTTTTTCCCAAGAGGATCTGAACATGGCCAATAAGAACCTGAAAACCATAATGAGATACCACTTCGCACTCACTAATATAGCTAAAATTAAAATAAAGACAATAGCAAGGATATAGAGAAATTAGAACCCTCTTGCATTGCTGGGAATATAAAATAGTGCACCAAGAGTCTGCTTGTTCCTCAAAATGCTAAACATGGATTACCAGGTGACCCAGCAATTCTACTCCTAAGTATATAGGAGCAAGAGAAAGGAAAAGCATATGTCTACACAAAAATCAGTACATGAATGTTCATAGCAATGTTATTTATAATAGCCAAAAAGTGGAAACAACTCAATTATCAATTCACTGATGAATGGGTAAACAAAATGTGGTATGTCTCTAGACAGCAGACTATTACTCAGTTATAAAAAAAGAATAAAGTACTGATACATGTTACAATGTGGGTGAACCTTGAAAATATTACGTTAACTGAAAGATTTCATGCCAGTCACAACAGGCCACATACTGTATTGTTCCATTTATATGAAATGTCCAGAATAGTAAGTCTATAGAGACATATAGAGCAACTTAGTAGTTGCTTGGGGCTGGGGGAGTAACTGCTAATGGGTATGGGATTTCTTTTTTGGGTGATGAAAACATTCTTAAGTTGATTATAGAATATTTGAACAACTGGAGTATTCTAAAACTACTGAACTGTATACTGGAAATGGGTGAATTTTATGACATGTAAAATACATATCAATAAAGCCTTTTTTAATGAGAAGATAAAGAAATGAATCATCAGATGTAAAATCTTTGACTTAATACTCTAAAACTGCCAGTACTTCTTTGTCACATGGACTATGTTTAAGTGCAATAACTTACAGTACAGTCCCTAAATGTCCCGCTTAATGGCTCTGTACTCTGATGAAAACCCAATGTAGAGTCAGGGTTGCAGGAGTAGTTAGATAAGAAATAGACAAAAAATTAGAGGCAAATGGTAATGAGGGAGGCAGGGGTTGTCAGGTCTTAACACGTATGTTCACAGATCCAGGCTTCTGAAGATCATGTTGAGTTTTATGGCAGTTGCGTTTTATGGAAGAAGACTTATTAAAATTTCTGAGCTGGTATCTTTTTGTACCTTTTTTTTCTACTACATAAGGTAAGGTATTTCAACTGGCACTTAAATCCCAAAGCTCACCCAAGGAATAAAGAAAATCTTACATCATTTCGGTCCTTGATTAGTCTCTCCTCCAGTTCCTGGGCTAATTGCCAAAGCCACCATTGTACCTAAAAAAAGTCGTGAGACTTTAATTTTTCATTTGAAAGCTGTAGGCTTATATAGAACTAGATGGGGACTTTTTTCAGTTCTCCCCCAAATGGAAGTGTGTAGGAAAGTTTCCCCTATAACCAAGGGTTCAACAAATCATAGACATCTTCAATACCCTGACCTGCTCTGGCTCAAGATTGTCATTTTCTTTTCCTGCTGGCATGCCCTCAGGTAAATTTTGGGCATGTTTCAGCTCTGAGAAAAAAAAAAAAAGACACAAACTTGAGGCACAATATCCTAGGCCTTCCAAGTTTCCACCTACCAAAAAATGAGTAATTCCATTTTGAACTTCAATCAGTTTCATTTTAATTTTTTTTAGATGGAAAAAAAAAGAAAAAAAATCACATTAAAGTCGGTCAATTTTCAACACAAAAAGAGAACTTCTATTCCTTTCATACTTTATAGCACAAATGTTCCATCTAACTTAATAAAACCTGCAGCTAACAAAACCTACCCACTAACCCCCTTTAAAGAATCAGTATTGTGTCAAGAATGCCTGCCTACCTGATCTGGAGTGGCCAGAGCTGTTTTTCCTGGGAAGTTCTTGCTGCAGCCAATGGTTTTGGGAAGTTGCCGGGGTTTAACTGGATCATGTTCAATCCCACGGCACATGGCGTATAGCCAAGATCTAATAAAACCAGCAAAAAAGTTTAAGGTGAAAGCAAATGACTAGTTTTGTTAAAACAAAAACAAAACAAAATACCTATATTCTACTACCCGAATATCCCCTTCATAAAAAAGGGAAACTTTGTCCAAAATTAAGTATACTCACCCCTGACAGAATCCCTGCCCTTCCCAGTGAACTTCAGTGTAAGGAGAGGAACACTGGTTATGCTTTCTAAAGCCAAGTCATCATTTGTGTTTTTAGAAAAGTGCCAAGTAAGCCACTGATTTATATCCCCAAGTTTTTTGGTACTTACTAAGCCTAAATACAAAGACTTTAAGAAAATATCTGCATCTTAGCACACATACAAGCAGATGATGTATATATCCAGGCTTCAAAGTAACAGTTCCTATTTACCAACCTGTGTAGGTACCTGAAAAAAACTGCTCTAGACTGATAGGCCGTAGTGATCTAATATTTTAAAGCAAAGGGACCAATGATTACCTCGAGGTACAAATGCTAACATAAAGATAGGTCTAGATTTTACTAGATGCGTTTAACTAGATGAATTTAGTGTCTCCGTAAAGGTCATGATTGAAAAGCATTAGGAATCGCTTACCCACTCTTCTCTCCAAAATGACTCTGGAGCTGGGATTCGGTGAACTGCGTCAGCTCACCCATGTATTCTACCCCCAGGATTTCAATGACAGAGGCCCCCAGCTTTCCTCCAAGACTACGGCTAGCAAAAAAAACAAGGAATTTATAGGTCACATCCTAAATGTCTAGTTATCAGCTGATATAAGGCATTTTGCTTGTGTAAGTAGCTCTCCAGGAGGTTCAGGGAAAATGAGAGCACATATGGGTCCTGTAGACTATTAATATTCTAGCATAAGACTAGATGACTCCGGGAATTCAGATATTCTGGGAGTTAGGACCTGGGAAGATTAACAATAGCAAAAACAAAAGGTTAAAGTCATTAATTAGTCACCAACTCAACTGTATATAAAACTTTCAATTGTATAGGATCTACTACTACCATACCACTTAGGGAATAAAATTCTATCCCCCAAGCAATTCCCTTGCATAGCTAAAGCCTTTTCTATTTAAGAATAAAGTCAAAAAGCTTCGGCCTGGGCTTACGGCTTTCAATCATCTGTCGTCAACCGATCTTTTCAGTCTTATTTCCATCACTATCTTCCTCAATATGTTCCAACTATACTGTTATGCTCCAGTTCACTAAAAATACCTCCTATTTTCTCCTTCTTTGTGTTCAAAACATTCTCCAAATCGGTGTTGCTCTTCTTGTCTCATCTGACTCTCCAAATTGTGCCAAATCTCAAAAAAATCCATGCCTTTTTAATAAATCCTTCTCAGGTTACCCTTCTATGAACTTTAGTAACTATCTGCACAGTTCATTTAGCAATATCTTATGTACAGTCTCATGACAGCACTTTCACTGTTGCTTTGAACTGTTGTATCTTGTCCCTTCAACAATAAGCCTTTGTCATGGACACGCAATTGGCAGGCACAACCTAGTTATTCGTTTTACTTGGCTTCTTCTCTAATGCCTAGTTTGGGAGCCATTCAGTAGCCCTGAACACCTCGGTGTGATATTAGAAGAAAAGAACTTAAAATTGCTATTGATTTTGATATTTTGTAACTGACTTGAATAAAAAGCCCAGAAGGGAGTTAAACATATAGCTAAGAATCAGGTCATTGTTTGAAATTCAGGATTAAGGTCTTCCACAGATAATCCAGAATTGAAGTTTCATTAAGAAAAATGTCTCAGTGTGTTTTTCAAAATTTTCTGTCTTATTCGTATCTCCCTCCTGCCTCCCTGGTACCTTTCTTCCTTGGCTCCAATCCTTCACAAGGAACAGAAGAAACTACAACCCAAGTGCCTTCAGACGTATATGAGTAAAATTTAAGGTGCTCCCCGAATACTTACATTTTGCCAATAGGCATGTGGCTGAAGAGTTGTGGGACTGATCCATGTGAAACCAGGGTCTGGCGGTTGGGCTTGTTTAGTCCACAGGCCAGCTTAGCCAGGACCTGGATTTGGAGCACGGAGAGTGTAAAAACCTCATCACTGTCAACACTCATGCATGCGTTGGCTTGGTAACTATTAACATACACATACACACACAGGCACAGCTTCAGGGCCGTAACTAGTGGTGTCCACATTAAGAACAAAACCAGAAACTCCAGGCATCTCTAAACCTTCACGTCCCACAACATCCTCCGTGGAAAACATGACTCGCTGTCATTATCCTCATTGTCCTTCCCACATCTTCCACTCTCAGTTTTCCCTTAGTCATTTTTTCCAGCCACTTCAAGAGGGTGAAAAGCAGAGAAGCTGCAGAAGAAACTTAAGATGTATTTCTTAATGTGCCCATGTGAAAATGCCAAGACAAACTTGTTCTACCTTACCCCATTTATTTACATTTCTTGATGAATGGTTAGTCCATTTGGAGTTCCAGAGTGAATACGATACGTATTAACCATAATTTAGTATCTCTGAGAGAGACTGGGCTCAGAATCATCTTCTAATAGCAAAAATACTATAAACAAGACTTCAAAATGAAAAAAAAATTAAATCCTTAAGAACTCTTTTCAAAGAATGAGGTACTTCAGTGGTATCATTTCACAAATAAAAATTGGTAGGGAAAGTATAAAATCATTCGTTAAATTCACTGGAGAGATTTCTCTGGAACTTCTACTGGGCAACATTTAGTCTGGTTTGAGTTACTACACTGGGTCTTTAGTTTTCTCTCCCTCCATCCAACCAGAAAAAAACCCCAAACGCTGAGTAGTTTGGCACCTTTCCTCTTATCCGAGGGATGGGGAGAAGGTGGTAACCAATAATCAGTCACTGCCCAATTACTGAGCCTAGTCAGAAGGGGATGAAGGCCCCAGGCCCTCACCACACTTTAATCAGAAAACCAGTGATTCTGCTCCTGGATTATTGAGAATTGTCTGTGTTCCTAAATCAAAATAGTTGTCCAAATTAATAAAATTTAATGATTCCATTTCTCTTATTGCTTTCCTTAGGGAATGGGGACTAGACAAAGCATACAAAACCCAGGCCACTCCACATAAACTGTAATACCAGAATATTCAGCAGGCAGAAAGAAAATAAATAAATTCATATATAAAATTCAAAGACTAGCCTCCTCCTTTCTATATAGCTCAGTCATTAAGGAAATATTTTGGATGCAACTATATAAATAAGGATTTTCTGCAAAATTTTCAGCCTGCTTCTTAGGGAAAAGTACATGTTCAATGTCAATTCCCAGGTTAAAGAATTATTTAGGCTTTTATTTAGTCCTCAACAGGAATTTTTTCCCTTCTTTTTCTTTTTTTAAGAGGGCACAGCTCAAAGTGGCCCACACGGGGTCAAACGGGCAACCTTGTTGTTCAGAGCACACACTCTAAACAACTGAGCCACCCATTCTCCCAGTCTTCAACATGAATTGTAAATAGAAACCCATTTCAAAGTATATGTGTAACAATTTAAATGTCCCATTCATAGCTGTCTTTGCTGTATTCAACTACAGTTATCTGTATTTTTTTTTAATCTACTATTAGCCTTCACCTTATTGTGTGAGATTCCAGCTGAACACTGAAAGCCAGTCTGCCTCTCTATGGCTGCTCTCATTTCTTCCACAATCACTGCTCCCACAGTGAGCTGCAGGTCCGGAGAGGTGGCATTACCAATCTGAAGAGAATCAAGCCATTGCAATAAGCCTTGTTTTCGCATCTCCTCTGAAAAAGTTAAGAGTTCAAATTTAGACATTCTTTAAAATTGAGATTTTATTTACTTGTGTTATCTATTGCAGAAATTCTTAGATTTCAGGTACATTGGATATGTAGGTTTCCACAAAAAAAAATGGCAGCTGTTTTAGACTACTTGATACACACAAGAAAGATCAATTTCCCCTTCATGCTGAAACTTATGGTTTTAATATGCAACAAACATTTTATGTTATCTTTCATAAGCAATGATTTAAAAGTGCATGTTTTGGGCCGGCCGAGTGGCGCGATGGTTAAGAACTCGCTTGGGATGCCAGAGGGCCCCGGTTCGGATCCCACATATGAGGGCCAGTGACACTGCCCTCCACAGCTAAGATGCTGAACAACAGCTCAACCTGGAGCTGGGCTGCCATGAGTCGCCGGCGACGGCGTGGGCTGCAGTCCCTGTGGCAGTGGATTGCCATGGGCTACCGTGTGTGGCCAGCAGCCAGCGTGAGCGGCCAGCAGCCGCAGTGAACGGCCGTCCAGAAGCCGGCGACTGATCTGCCTCGCCAGAGAAGAGCGCAATGATGGTGCCAACTTGGGCCAGTGAAGCAACATCCTCCACAACTAGACTGAAGAACAAAACGACAGCAACTTGTCTGTTCCCCTTTCCCCAATTCCCCAGCACTGTTCCCATCCCCCCAATTTCCCAATAAAAATCTTAAAAAAAAAAAAAGTGCATGTTTTCTCACTCCAGTTCTCTTGAATTTTCTTCCTCCAACTTTCCCTTGCACATTCCCAAGAATTCTGTTATTCAATTCGAATATATTTAGAATTAACTTGTGCTTCAATATAAACTTTAGTATGTAGTATACATTTTTAGAGACAGGTTCCCACTGAATAGCTTAACATCCCATCAGAGGCACTAGAAGATTTATTTTCTGAACAAGCTATTTAAATTAGATGAAGCTTTGGACTCAGGTCCTTGAACATATCTTACTATCCAATTTAGAACTAGCCACAATTTTGAAAAAGCATAAAAAGTTATTATATAGCAAGGAATTAGGTATGTAGGAAATACAGACATGCTGGTTTAAAGAGGCAGTACTGAGGTATGAACACAGCAAGAAAATACACTCAAACAAATCTAGGAGAGGTAGAGTGAAGGTCCACATATAGAAAAGAGGAAGAAGATGAGCACCTAGAAATATTTTCCAAATATTTTTAAATTTATTGGTGTGACATTGGTTAATAAAATTATATAGGTTTCAAGTGTACAATTCTACAATACATCATCTGTATATTGCATTGTGTGTTCACCACCCGAAGGCTAATCTCCTTCCATCACCACATAGTTGACCCCCTTTACCCTTTTCTCACCCCATAATACTTTCCAACTATTGATGATTGCTGCTTCTCTTCTTTGCTGGCTTGTCTTCCTCTTCTAATACCCTAACTGTGGTTACTGAGCAACATTCTCCTCTTCTTTGTATATATGCTTTTTCTCTTGGTGAACTGGTACTAGTTTATGTTTCAATTTGCTTATGCTGAGTACATGCAAATCTTAATCTCAGTCCCCAAACTCTTATTAAATGCCAACCATTATCTCCACTGCCTTATAAAATAAATCTTCTTGAATTTTGCATTATAGTTTTAAACTAAACATAACAAAAAAATCAACTTTTATTATATCTTTTTTCTCAAAGGTTTTCTTTCCCAAAATAACTCCCTATTTCTATTAAAGATTTAAAATCCAAATAATGTTGTCTTCTTTTTTATCTTTCATTCCTCATTATTTAGTTAAAAAAAAACCCACTTCAAAATTTCACATATCCATTGCAACCCACCCTATTTTATTCAGGTTTTCTTTATTCTTGCCTAGGCCACCTCAGGTGGTTCCTAAACCACCTTCTCCCTATATATGCATTCTACACAATTCCCACAAATTAAACCTTCTCAGACACCAATGTTATCAATCTTACCCTCTGTTCAAAATTGCCAGTGGCTCTCTCGCACTTACAAAATAAAGAACCAACTCTATAAATTGGCATTGAAGGCCATCTGCCCTTTTCAATTTATCTTCCACGGATCCCAAATTTGTCACATCCTTACAATTTCCTGAACATACCATGTGTCTACCTTACAACATCACTTATTCTATCTCCCTGCTCTTACTCCTTAATTCTTGTGTATACTCAGGGCTTATCTCAAGTCTCATCTATCATGAGATTCTCTAACTATTCTAGCTAACTTTGGGGTCCCCACTAACGTCCTTTAGCTCTTACTGTAACAAGTACAGCATAATTGTTAACAGAACACACTACAGTCATGGCGGATTCAAACGTTGGCTTCACAGCTTACTATGTGATTTTGAGCAAGTTACCTAATTCTCTAAGCTTTGGCTTTGTTGTCTATAAAATGATGAGAATACTGTACCTCATGGGATTGTTGTGAGAATTAAAAGGTTATGTACAGAGGGAGCCAAAAAATTCTATACACATTTTAAGAAGGAAAAAAACTATATTAAAATTATGCTGATGGTAACAACTTTGAGCACCTCTTGTAATTGCAGAAGTCAAACATGACTTGTATTCACCTTTTGTTACCGGTATATACTGAGTATTACAATTTTAATAGTTTTTTCCTTTCTTAAAAATGTGTATACATTTTTTTTGCCTCTGTCTCTCTCTTGCTCTCTCTCTCTCTCTATATATATATACACACACACATATATGTATATATGTACATATATACATATATATATGTATATACCTATATATGTATATACCTTATACATATTAAGAACGATAAATATAACATCCTTAATTTAAAACTATTTGTTAGGTTTGGAAAACATAATTTGTTGAAATTGCAGGGTTTTCTGGACTCTTTTTCTTAACTAGTAAAGCTGAGTTTTCTCTGCTCCAGATTTCTTCATTATCGTTCTCCCAGATTAGGTAGTTGCAATCCTGTTCCTCTATATCCATTCAATTGAATAGGACCACAGAAGATAAGCAGCATTCCTCTGTTTCTCTTTTCTAGTTAGTAAGAAGAATCTATAAAATTTGTGGTTTTTCTTTGACACACTGTGGTGGAGTAGAGGGAAAAGATTCAGGTAGTTTTTGTTGAAAAAATGCCCACTAAAGTGAGAAAAAGACTTTCCTTTTCCTATTGGATTATCTGGGTACCTTTGTGAAAACCAATTGAACAGAAAAAAAAAAGTGGGATCTATTTGTGTACCCTTTATTCTGTCCCATTCATCTATATGTCTCATCTTGTACCAGTATCACACTGCTCTACTTACTGTAAATTTATAGTTAAATCTCTTTTTTTGGCATATTTTATTCAAATAGTAGTCTGATCACACATGAGCCAAGAACATTCAAATAAACCCAAAAGAAACAGATGTTAAAGTTGGTCTTCAAACATTATAGCCAACAATGCCACGTTTGCCTGTGACCTCGCCAACATAAAACCACATCCACACCTCAGTGGCCACCAAACCATGTAGCAGAGCTGCCTTAACTGAGAGATGTTTAAAAGCTACCAGTTTGAGCACTATTGACTAATTTTTTTCAAGCTCTGAATAACTGTAGGGATCTTAGCAGGGGTTGGAGGAACCAGCTGAACCTTGGCATAGTACCAAAATGTGGCCAATTGAGGCTTCAGGTAAGTCAAGGCGGTGTTTACCAGCACTGGGGCCTTCTCTGCAAGGTTACAGACAGATTGGGCCACGGTTCTAGGATGGAAAGTCCATGGCCTTGAACAGCCAGCTGAATGTCTGTGGTTAAATCTTAAACTCAGGTAGTGCAAATCTTCCAACTTAGTTCTTTTTGAAAGTTGTTTGGCTATTCCACATCCTTTGCATTTCTATACAAATTTTAGAATCAGTTTGCCAATTTCTACAAAATCCAGCAGGGATTTTGGAAGGGAATGCAATGAATCTGTAGGTCAGTTTGGCTCCCCAAATTGAGCTCTAATAACATTTAGTCTCTTGATCCATGGGTATAGTATGTCTCTCCATTGAGTCCATATTCTTTAGTTTCTCTCAGTGATGTTTTGTAGTTTTCACTGAACGAGTTTTTTACATATGTTAAAATTATCTTTAATAATTTCATGATTTTCATGCTATTGCAAATGACATTGCTTTTTAAATTTCAATTTCCCATTTTTAATTTTAGACTACAGAAATACTATTGATTTTTATATTGACTTTGTCCTCTGCAACCTTGTTAATCTCACTTATTCTAGTGGTTTTCTTGGGGGGGGGGCGATACATTTCTTAGGATTTTCTATAAACATGGTCATGTCGCCTGCAAAGTAAGTTACTTCTTCCTTCACATCTGAATATCTTTTATGTCCTCTTCTGTTCTGATCAGACCACCTTGTGCCCCCAGTACAATGCTGAATAGAACTGGCCTAACAGTGAGTATTGATGACTTGTGCCAAAACTTCAGAGTTAGACTGATAAACCTCTAGCTAGACCCCACAACTCCAGGGACCATAACTACAAAAGAGAAGTCCCTGTACAGATAACAGGCATGCCCTCTTCTGTGCTACAAGCTGATTGGTGCCTTCCAAGTTCCATCAGGCTGTATGTACCTTGTAGGCAGAATGGATCATCTCACAGTTTGTAGGACTGAGGTCCTTGTTTTCTTGCTGGCTGTCAGCAGCGGGCAGCAACGAGAGCCTAGCCCTGGGGCCTTCTGCAAAGACGCTCAAAACCCAACAGCTTACTTCTTCAAAGCCAGCAAGGAGTCTCTTTTTAAGTACCACAATTCTCACCTTTGACAGTTGATTTATAATTTTTTGTACCACTGCACAACTGTTTTATGTCCTATGCATTCAGAAGATATTCAATATGTGCTTAGGAAGAAATGAATTACCAGCAAGCAGAGAAAAGAGAGAACAAATGAGTTCCATAGCTAACACAAACTAGTTACAACATGGCCCTGAAGGGAAAGTTTTTACTGTAGCAATTTTTGAGTGTTATCCTTAAGTAATACTCTATTTTGGAAACAGAAAATACA